AATGCAAATAAAATTTCTTTTCAAAATCAGGGTTTGATAAAACTGGGGCCGATGTCAAAATTTGTTTTAATTTGTCCATCGCCTGTTGAGCTTCTGGTGTCCATACAAACTTCTTTTTTGAGGATAACACTTCAGTGATTGGGTACGTGAGGTCGGCAAAATTGTGAATGAAGCGACGGTACCATCCACAAACTCCAATGAATCCACGTACTTGCTGCAAGTTTTTAGGCGAGGGCCAGTTTAAAATGCATGGCACTTTAGCAGGGTCTGTACGAATACCTCCGCTACCAATGATATAACCTAGGTAGTTAATGCTTGTGACACAAAATTGGCTTTTGTCAATATTGAGGGTCAAATTTGCTTTGCGGAATTTCTCCGCTAAACGAACTAACACAGCGAGATGTGATGAAAAGTCTTCCGACACAATGCAAAGGTCATCGAGATAACCGAAAACGCAATGTCGAAGATCAGGTGGAATGATTTCATCCATCAAGCGGCACATAGTAGACGGGGCATTGCATAGCCCAAATGGCATTACCTTAAATTGATAAAGCGGTCGTCCCGGGACCGTAAAGGCGGTCAACGGCTTTGAGTCAGGACTGAGCTCAATTTGCCAATATGCATCTTTAAGGTCCAGTTTGGTGATTATATTAGCGCTAGGTAGTCTAGAAAGGATTCCGTCAATACTAGGTAAAGGGTAAGCGTCCTTTTTTGTGACTTCGTTAAGTCTGCGGGCATCCAAGCAAAGTCGAACTTTGTTGGGTTTCACAACGAGACGCATGGGTGAACTCCAAGCACTGACCGACGGCTCAATTACATCCAGTTGGAGCATACGATCGATCTCTTTATAAAGCAATTTCTCTACAGCCGGGCTTACGGGGTAGAAACGCTGTTTCACAGGCTTTGCGTCTCCTACATCAATATGATGTTGGATAAATGTGGTACGTCCTAAAGCTTTAGTAGCATTCGGAAACAAAGCCTTAACGACTTCTAACTGCTGAATTTGCTGCTGACTCAAAGGGTACACGTTTTCTGTGGTTCCAGTTGAGTCCACAGTGTTATCTAGAGAACTAATAATGTTCGGTGCAAGTGAGAAGGTTCTGTTTTATGGAGGGTATAACGTACAGTTTCATTGGCATTTTGACTGTTTTATAAGTCATAAGAATGTCAAGAACTCCTATAATTTTCTGTTCTTCACCATCTGCGGTTCTAGCTAGTGATTTTAAAGGTTTAAATTCAGGTATCTTAGAAAAATCTTCTGTTGCAAGAGAGGAACCGATGCAGCTTATATTCGCTCCTGTATCCAAGAGACCAAGTTTTTTATACGTCAAGAACGAAACTTCAGCATAGCTGCGCATATCGTTCTGGTTACTAAAAATTGTGGAGACTAAGAGTTTTTGGTTTCTCTTAGTATCTTCATAAAAGTTTCGTAAGCGTAAAGTACGCTTACTCAATTTAAGAGGAATATCCTTAAATATACGATTTCTAACCTCTAAATAGTGGTTAAGCCGGTCTTCATACGATCGACGATAAAGGGGAACAGGTTTAGGGATAGGTGGTATAGAATTTATTTTTTCAGCCAACCCTGGCTGTTTTACGCTTTCGGGCCCATCCGGTTGGCGTTGGATGCACCCGTTTGACGGTTTTCCGATAATTTTCGGAGACAAGCTGTGCACTGTGGCTTATAGACATTCGGAGCGCCACATCCGTAGCAAACAATACGACGTTCTGACAAACAGTTTTCCCAAATGTGACCTAACTCCTCACAGTTCCAACACTTGGTTTTCGAGTGGCTACTACGAAGAGCTGCTAACTCTCCTCCAATATCTACATCTTCTGTTGGTTCATGACAAGCGTCCTCAAGGGCATAGACTTGACGGCGATTGACTGCCGGTCTCGGTTTGGTAGCGCTTTCTGCACGGCAACGGAGCTCATTTTCTAAATTCTCACTCATGTTTACTAACCTACGTAAATGTCCAACTGAGTGTACTGGCTGATACAAAAGCTTTTCGCGGGTTTCAGGGAGCAAATTGTTTTTCAAAATCTCCATAACCTCTTCTTCGTCCATTTTAACGCTGGACTTATCAATCAGTGATGCAACGGCATCATAAAAAAGAGGAAAATGATTCCCCAGGCTTTTGCTTACGCGACCTAATCATCTCTTTGCTCATAAAAGCGGAGCGATAGTCCCTATATTGCTGCCGAAGAGAAGCACAAATATCTGACCAAACTATACGATCTACTTGCTTATGGTACCGCCAGTACCAGTTTCGGGCTTTTCCAGAAAACAATATATGCATGTGCTTACACATGGCAGTGAAGTCGCTATATAAGGTTTCGTCTGTCAATGATTTGACTCTATATATAAACTCTTCTACTCCTAAGCCTTCCGTGGATCCATCAAAGTGTAAATTCCACTTTTGCATTGTGTCAGCTGTCTTTCTATTAAGCGTAGAAGATGCAAACGTAGCAGGAGTGTCACGGATAGGTATGGGTACAGCATGGGTATATGTCGGGCTAGAACTGGGTTGAGCGTTCTGGCTTACGCCCATGTTAAAGTTTGCCACAACTCTAGTCACAGTTTGTTCAATCATTTCTTGTAAAATTGTGTAGTCAACCGCGTTACCTTGACGAGAATTTCGGTTTCGCGTAGTTCTACCTCTCCTTCTAGTGCCGGTGTCTCTAGGAGGAGCTTCAGCTTGGTTGGTGCTTTGACTAGCATCTAGGGCGGATGACGCTACGGCACTCGCATCCAAACCACGAGTGTCTTGTGTCTCGGCAGCAGTTGCTGCTTGAGCTTGATTTAAAGCCTTAGTAAGGTTTCGAGTCATAACTCTGTGACCCGTAGAGGCAGTATTGGTCGTACTTTGCTTGGGTCCAGGCGAGTAATTGCCAACAACTAATTTCAGGTCTGGTTGGTTAATAGTTTTGTTACAAATGAAGCAATTATCATGCTCTGCCAGCCAACCTTCTAAGCAAAGCTTATGAAAGACGTGTTTGCATTTCAACAAATAACAGGGATGGGTATGCGCATTGAGTATTGGTCACAGAACCTGGCGGTGGAACTTGTCCGGGACTGTGTTCTACAGGCATTATCATGAAAAAATATCCTGGTTTGACATAAGCTGATGACAAAGTAGAGGTAAGAAAAATCAGTCAGACACGATAAGTAGGATGAAGGGGTTTTTTTTTTTTTAATAAACTGCGCTATTGAATCTATTATAATAACGGTACCAGATCGTTTCCCTGCAGCTATATGGTTCAAATTATTCGGCATGTGTACGCACATGCAGCATATGCACAATTTCCAGACAACAACTTGACCATACACCTGACAGAAACTATCCGTTCAATTATTTGGTTTCACCGAAACTCCCTTAGCTGATCTAAAAAAATGTATCGCAGGGACATTCAGTATTGGTATCCGATCTCAGCCAAATACGCAACTTTCTGGAAACGTGTACGACAGTATTCAAAAATCTATGCTTAAAAAATATTGATTTCTCAAAAAAAAATGAGCTAGGTTTTTGCGAGATCAATTCCAAGGATAGCGGCTGAAAATTGCTATCAAAGTTCGGATTTAAGCTGAGTCCTAACGTAGCCATACTCTTGTCTCGGCATGGTATCCAGGCAGAATAACCAGCATCGTAGACTGTTGACTAATTAAGTACTCTAGCATCAAACATGCGGAAGTAAGACTAAGCTGATCTTATCATCGTCAGCAATTATG